CCCGAAGCCAGACTGTAATCGATCTCAGTCTGGCATCATCGAGTATCTCGGATCATATAAAGAACTGGCAAGTCACTTCTGAAGCGACTATGTCAGATCACAGACTAATTTCATTTGAAATTGACTGTAAAGGAACCGTTCAAAAGGGCTATCGCAACCCCAAGGTAACGGATATTCCCCTTTACAAACATCTCCTTGGAGAAAAACTTAGAGAGCACCCCTTCGGGGGACGTCTCTCTGATCCTGCCGACATACAGGACGTAGTAGATCTCCTTACCAACTCTATTGTGGAGTCATTTGAACAGGCGTGTCCTCTGAGAACTGCCAAGACTCCCTATAACCATCCTTGGTGGTGCAGGGCGCTCGAAAAGCAGAAAACTCGATTGGGCAAACTGTTTAATAAGGCAAGGAAGAGCAAAGCTGCAGCCGACTGGAGAGCCTACAAGGCAAACCTAAGGCTATACAAGAAGGACATTAGAAGGCGTCAGAGAGGCATGGAGGGATTTCTGTAGCTCTATAGAATCCACCTCCTCGGTATCTCGCCTAAATAAAATCCTTACCAAAGATTCATACCACAACCCAGCTAGCCTCAGAAGAGAGGATGGTTCCTATACGGACAACCTCACAGAGACAGCTGAGGTACTAAGAGACGCTCACTTTCCTGGAGCCACCACCACGCCTTACCCCAACTGGCCTGAGACAATCCCTTTCACTTCCACGGAGAATGACTGGGCGGTTGCCTGTCAGGTGGTGGACGTGGCGAGGGTGACCTGGGCGGTGAAATCGTTCTCAGCATACAAGTCACCCGGTTTGGACGGCATAATAGCGGCTCTCCTGCAATGGGGACTGGATGTTATTGCTACCTACCTAGTGGGAATATATACAGGCTGTATCGCTTTCAGATACATACCTAAACAATGGAGGGAGATAAAAATTGTTTTTATCCCCAAACCTGGAAAAGGTGATTACTCCACACCTAAAGCATATCGTCCAATCAGCTTGATGTCTTTTCTTCTTAAGACACTTGAAAGACTGTGCGATAGATACATAAGGGATACGGCGCTAACACGGTTTCCGCTGCATCCTAACCAACACGCATACTGCCCAGGAAGATCTACGGAATCAGCCCTGCACTGCGTTGTAGGGCAGATTGAGAGATCGCTGCACTATAAAGAGTCCGCACTGGGAGTATTCATAGATATAGAAGGGGCTTTCGACAAAACAACCTTCGATTCAATAGAAATGGCTCTATGTCACCACGGCGTACCGAACGTCATACGAGGCTGGATTGCGCAGCTGCTGAATCTCAGAGCAGTGCACATCAGCGTTGGCGACGAAACACTAAGGTGCACAGTAGTGAGAGGATGCCCCCAAGGTGGGGTGTTATCACCACTTCTGTGGAACTTGACTGTAAACAGGCTCCTCTGTCGCCTTAATGACAGTGGGTACTATACGCTGGGGTATGCGGATGATATATCCATACTTATAACCGGCAAATTTGAGGCTACTTTATGCAGACTGATGCAATCAGCTCTTACAGTAACCGAAGAATGGTGTAGGGAACACTCCTTGTCCATCAACCCGACAAAAACGGAGCTAGTTCTCTTCACAAGAAAAAGAAAGGTAGAGGGTATTCGAGCTCCCCTGCTATTCCAAAAACACCTCCAATTTTCAGAGTCAGTGAAATATCTAGGAATCACACTCGACAAAAAACTGAATTGGAGCAAACATATCCAGCTTAAAGCCGAAAAAGCAAATAGGGCTTTCTGGCAAAGTCGCCGCGCTATTGGCAAACTTTGGGGACCATCCCCGAAGGCTGTCCTGTGGCTGTACACTGCCGTGATTAGACCTATGTTCTGTTATGGAGCAATTGTCTGGTGGCCTAGAACCAGACTCTCCACAACTGTAGCACTCCTTAATCATGTGCAAAGACTAGCGTGCCTTGCCTGCACAGGCGCGATGCGAACGACCCCCACAGCCGTCATGGAGGCCCTCTTGGATCTGCCTCCACTAGATCTCCACGTGAGAGAGCAGGCCATTCTGGCATTCCTGCGTCTGAAAAATAAGGGGTTGTTGAATAGCAGAGGCATTGAGGGGGGCCACTCCCGAATTCTGGGCGAGGCGATCAAGCGTCTGCCTATCCTAGAGGGGAGATCGGACTCACTCACTCCTCAATTCATATTAGGGAAAAACTATCACATCTTCTTTGATGAGAATATGGCATCCCAACCAGATATATTCATCTTCACGGATGGATCTAAGACAATGGAAGGTACAGGCACTGGTATTTACTCCAAAGAACTGAACTTCCATATCACCCAACCACTAGGTAAACTTCCTACTGTATTCCAGTCAGAGTTGGTAGGATTAACGCTTAGTGCAAGAACAGTTCTTATGCATAACATAAAGAACAAAACTATCAGAATCTCAAGTGACAGCAGGGCTGCCTTGCAGTCACTTGGTCACTGTAAAATTACCTCTAGGATGGTTTCCGAATGTCACCACGTACTAGAGCAAGTAGCAAGCAGCAACACCCTTGAGCTCGTATGGGTCAAAGGGCATGCTGGAACGGAAGGTAATGAGAAAGCCGATAAATTAGCCCGACTGGCCTCAAAACAGGCGTTTTATGGTCCAGAGCCGGCTCTTCCACTTACAGTTAAAACTGTAAACAACCTAATAACTCAAGACACCCAAACCCAGCACAGGGCTAGGTGGAACTTGATGTTAGATTGTCGCCATGCGAGAGAAGCCTTCAGAGGACCATCTCGTAGCTTGGCGCGTTTTTGTACAGGGCTATCAAGGAAGAACCTGAGGTTACTCGTGGGCATACTTTCTGGGCACTGTAAACTAAACAAGCACATGCACTGCATGGGTTTGGTGGAATCACCATCTTGTAGAGGATGTTACACAGACGACGAGACGGCATACCACATACTCTGTGAATGTCCCGCTCTAGTCCAACTGAGACGATCCATGTTGGGGGAATCCTGGCCGGACATGGCTACGATTAGAGCCGCCTCCCCTTCCAGCGTCCTAAGGTTCATCTCACGTGTGGGATGGCTTGAGTGATGCTGAGGGGTCGGGCGACCCTAGTCAGGGAGGTAGTACAAAGGGCCCGAATTTGAGGCCTAAGTACGCGTGGACACTGTTCACCCTCCTATCGTAATCCAGAATCCAGAATCCAGATCCGGAAAAAATTTTTCTTATGGAATGTGGCTTGTAGAATCCATAATTTCAAACAGTTCCAAGATTGGGCTACTAGTTCAAAAGTTACAGCCCTTTGAATTTTTTTTCGAAATTGGTTTCAAGTCTATAACTTTTGATTGAGAAGTCTGATCGAAAAAGTACGAATTGATTTGGATTGTACGCACCCAAATTAATAAGAAAAGGTGTCTTCCCGAGAAATTTTGGTGTAGTCAATTTTTGGTAAAAAAGGAAGGTTATACACTGCCTTTTTTTGAGCCCCGAAGAAAAAATTGTCTCAGATCGATCCGGAAAAAAATTTTTCTTATGGAATGTGGCTTGTAGAATCCATAATTTCAAACAGTTCCAAGATTGGGCTACTAGTTCAAAAGTTACAGCCCTTTGAATTTTTTTTCGAAATTGGTTTCTAGTCTATAATTTTTGATTGAGAAGTCTGATTGAAAAAGTACGAATTGTTTTGGATTCTACGCACCCAAATTAATAAGAACAAGTGTTTTCCCGAAAAATTCAGGTGTAGTCGATTTTTGGTAAAAAAGGAAGATTAATACACTGCCTTTTTTTGAGCCCCGAAGAAAAAATTGTCTCAGATCAATCCGGAAAAAAAATTTTCTTATAGAATGTGGCCTGTAAAATCCATAATTTCAAACAGTTCCAAGATTGGGCTACTAGTTCAAAAGTTACAGCCCTTTGAATTTTCTTTCGAAATTGGTTTCTAGTCCCATAACTTTTGATTGAGAAGTCCGATCGAAAAAGTACGAATTGTTTTAGATTCTACGCACCAAAATTAATAAGAAAAAGTGTTTTCCCGAGAAATTTTGGTGCAGTCAATTTTTGGTAAAAAAGGAAGGTTATACACTGCCTTTTTTTGAACCCCGAAATAAAAATTGTCTCAGATCGACCCGGAAAACAAATTTTCTTATAGAATGTGGCCTGTAGAATCCATAATTTCAAACAGTTCCAAGATTGGGCTACTAGTTCAAAAGTTACAGCCTTTTGAATTTTTTTCGAAATTGGTTTCTAGTCTATAACTTTTGATTGAGAAGTCTGATCGAAAAAGTACGAATTGTTTTGGATTCTACGCACCAAAATTAATAAGAAAAAAGTGTTTTCCCGAGAAATTTTGGTGCAGTCGATTTTTGGTAAAAAAGGAAGGTAAATAACTGCCTTTTTTTGAACCCCCCAAAAAAAATTGTCTCAGATCGATCCGGAAAAAAATTTTCTTATAGAATGTGGCCTGTAGAATCCATAATTTCAAACAGTTCCAAGATTGGGCTACTAGTTTAAAAGTTACAGCCCTTTGAATTTTTGTTCGAAATTGGTTTCTAGTCTATAACCTCGGGTTCGGTTGTAATTTGTGTACTACAATTTTCCATCGACAATTGCTACTGCATCTACAGTTAAGGAAAGGAGTTACCTTTGATTTCTTTTGGGGCTCGAGCTTTTGGTTCCGGTCTAATTCTATTTTGAAGTACCAGTGTAAATTCCGGATACGTTCCATTACATCCGAAACGTTGAAATCGCATGTTGTCCTTTTATTGCGGCTGACCAATTAAGTATCGTACCTGGTATAGAAGCAGATTACGAGTTGAGCGAGGCCCCTCGGGCATTAATCAATTAATTATATATACCGATCATTCTTGATTAAAGGTTGAAGTAACGCAACCTTCAGAGGTTAAAAATAAGAGTACTGCTGACGTAATTCAGTTACAGCCACGATTATTAATTTTTTAGAGATTATTGTTCACCTGTAATTTATGTATTTACAAAGTCGGTGAATCACAATTACTCATCATATCCAACTGAATAATACCAGCTCTTTTTACAACGTTTACCTTTACAAATTTGCTTTGCGATTAGATTAACGTCATGGTCCTTTTGTAGTTCAACCCGACCATTAGTGAAAATGAACGCGTTTGGTGCTGTCGTGATCGCCTTGGGTATTAATTTCCATCTGGCTCTTCACCACATTCACTGATCTCTTTGCAGCTTGGATCAGCGTGGAATCGTTCGAGCAGAGGCTCATAGGTGGGCAAAAGGCGAAGATTAGCGATTTTCCGTTTTACGCCTCGATTCGGATCTACCCCAACAGGTACGCGTGCGGGGCTGCGATCATCGATCGATTTTGGGTTATGACAGCAGCTCAGTGTGTCTACAGGTAAGTGTGAGGGTTTGACTCGTGCGGGTAATGCTGGGCGTTTTCCCCCTTAGCGTTCACCCCAGCAGTCTGGTGGTGGTGGCCGGTACGTCCTCCTTAAACGAAACGGGTGACCGCTACGGCGTCCATAGCGTTCACGTTCACCCCCTCTTCAATGCCGCCATGAAGACTAACGATACAGCGCTGCTGAGGCTTACCAGGAGCGTGGTTTACAGTAAGAACGTCTCGTCGATCGCGCTGGCAACCGACAGCCTACCTGGTGGTAAGACACTGGAGCTCTGCGGTCACGGTGCCACCCAGTATCCCTTCACAAACATGTCCGTTCCTCTCATGTCGGTCGAGCTCAAGTCCATAACCAACGCGCAGTGCAGCGCCGCTCTTAATCGGCCGATCACCAAGTACAACCTATGCACGAAGGGCAAAACCACTAAGGGCGCATGCGTCGGAGACGTCGGCGGTCCCTTGACGAAGCGAGGCGGTGTCTTTGGGACTACGAAACTCTACGGAACGGTCTCGTGGGGTTATCCGTGCAGTCAGGGCATGCCCGATGTGTATTCGTCCGTTTTGGCTGCAAGACCGTGGATCCGCACCATTAGTGGCCTTTAAACATGAATTTATTTATCATTAAAATGTAACTGCATTGTATTTAATTATTTTTCGTCAGTAAAAAACTGCCCCCTTAGACAGGCACCTTGACCCTCGTTCGAGGATCTCTTGACCACGCGAACCATTTACTGTTTAGCGACAAAAAATGACGTCTGGTTCAATCGACACTAGAATACGAATCCTATAAATTCAGTACTGGTATACATGTTCCAATGCGCTGATGCCAAGTGGGAAGAAGTGGCAAAGAGAGAAGAAGGTCTTGAGTTGTTGTATACTACTTCGGTATTTATCTTAACCTAATTCGGAGTAGCCGGCAGAATGCTCGAAACTAATCTTAGGAAATTCCCATCTTTGCCACAGATTAAAAATTCTTACCTCAGCCCAGTTCGAACACCCGACCTTCCCGCTATGTAGCCCAACGCTCTACCACTGAGACACATAGTCGGCAATTATAGACCTCGACATTTTTTCAGGCTTTTGCAGACCTTCAATTCAACGAAGAACCTCAAAACCCAAATTCCAATAACTGAATCACCTTTCAAACCTGGCTGTATCAGGCTCACAGAAGCGCATTCTTATCTCCTTAGGTTCATTGAAATGCAAAATTCATTTTTGAAAAATTGTTGTCTCAGATCGACCGGAAAAAAATATTTTCTTATAGAATGTGCCCTGTAGAATCCATAATTTCAAACAGTTCCAAGATCGGGCTACTAGATCAAAAGTTACAGCCCTTTGAATTTTTGGCGAAATTCTGACCGCGCCAACCGATAGCGCTGGTCGAGACCTTTCCAACGAGGGGTCGGAAGGCACATCTACGACGCACCGTTCTCGAGATATTACGGTTTGAAATTTCGACCAAAAATTCTGACAAACCGTAATATCTCGAGAACGGTGCGTCGTAGATATGCCTTCCGACCCCTCGTTGGAAATCTCAATCTCAATCTCAATCTTTATTTGTCCGTATACCAAAATAGGTTTTGACACGTCAGAAAATATGGTAAATATTAAATTAGTACAATGCATATATATATATAAAAGGAATAATAAAAACAGTTTAAAATTTCAAATAAATAAAAGCTAGACAGACCATGTGGCTAAAACAGAATATAGATTATAAACAATTTAAAATTTTAGTTAAAAAGAGACAAAACAGAGATAAAATATAAACAAGTAAAGGTAAAAATGACTAAAGAGAATACTACTACACAGGTACAAAAAATTCAAGTAAACAAACAATGAAATAAATAAATATCATTAAAATTATTGAATAGATCTCCAAGGCGTATGTAAATATTCACTAAAAAGAATGACTTAATAAGTGCGCCTTAACGACTCTTTTAAATTTATAAAAATTGTAAGGTTTGATACAATCAGGAACGATATTGTATAAGTCGACCCTAAGACTGTTATTTTTAGACCTACTTAGTTTATAATAGGGCGTTTTTATTTTTTTTGCTCCTCGTGTAGAATAGTTGTGAGAGAAGTCATTGGTTTCAAATTTATTTTTGTTTTTATGAATTTCCAATATGGTGTGATATATGAAAATAGATGGAAGAGGCATAATATTTAATTTTTTAAAAATAGGTCGGCAGTGAGCACGATAGTCAGCATTTACGATTATACGGATTATTTTTTTTTGCAATAAAAACGCCTTGCTCGCTTTGGAAGAGTTACCCCACAAAATTACACCATATTGTAAATGTGAATGAACTAAAGAAAATAGCACGATCTTAGGGTGGCTATACAAAGTGATCGTTTTAAATTCCTTAAAATAAATAATGATTTGGATAACTTAGATAAAACTAAATCAATGTGATTGCTCCAAGTGAGTTTTTCATCAATATATATGCCTAAAACTTTAACACACCTGCCGGTTGCAACCTTATTGTTTGTGGAGAGGGTAATTATGTGAGTTTTATCTTCATTTAATTTTAAGTTGTTCTTATTAAACCAGGTTATTCCTAATTGTATTAAATTATGACTTTTAAGGGCTAGAGTTTCGATATTTTGGTCCGAAATCAGTAATGAAGTATCGTCAGCATATGCAACAGCGTGATTAGGATGTATATATTCGAAAAAGTCATTAATGTATGAAAAAGGCAAAATTCATTCTCCGAGCATCGAGAGCTTTTGTGTTTTTCAGTATTTAACATGTATACTCTTGAATCTTTGTTTTTAAGGCTCCGAGTTTCTAAAACCTTGATCCGTTTAGTTTTTGAGTCTTTGATCTTTTTGATTTTTGAGTTCTCTAGACTCCTTGTGTTACGGCTCTCCGAGTCTGAGTTGTTTAATGTCTTTGAGATTCTGAGCCTATGTCAAGTGTTTAGTTTTTGGACATTTGTCTCTTCGAGTAAGCTTTTAAAGTTTTGGCCCCAGAGGAGAGAGATCCTCAAAACTCGTAAAGAACTCTAATGGCTCTTTGCGGGGGGGGGGGGGGCTGTTAATGGCTCTTGAAATGGAAACATTTGCAGACTGAAAGGGAAGATGCAGGAAACTTGACAAAAAACAAGAAAGAGTTGAGAGCACAAAAAAAATGGTAGGTAGAATAAAGATAGAAAATTGGACGAAGCAGAAGGCAGAAGGAAAAAAGAAAAAGTGAGAGAAGAAAAAAAGGAGGAAGGAAATATTGCGCCAGTTTCAGGCGCTGAATAGAAGGAAGACGATATTTAAGCAACATTTTTTGGTAGAATCTACTTTAATTTTCTTTCACAGAACTACTAACGGTTTTCAGTTTGAGAAAGGCCAAACTTTCGCGACCCTCCTCCTCTTCAGCTGCTAGAGTTTCTCCATAGAGCTCATCACGAGCTTATCAGAACCAAATAATTTATCCATTACTAAATATATAATACTTTATGAAGGAAATGTTCCTCAATCTCGCCTAAAGTCTTCCGGAACGTTTCCGGCAAGAAAACATACACAAAGAGTATGGTAACGAGACACAGGGAAGCGAAAAAGTACTGCAATCCCGATGGACCGCCGCACGCTTCCTTGAGCCAGTTGTACGAGTGCAACGACGCAAACATAAGCAAGTAGCAAATTGCGAACGTTAAACCCTGCATTACTCCGCGCACCGACTGAGGAAAAACCTCCGACGCAATCGCAAATGGTAAAATTTGCAGACCAATCGCCGCAAACACGAAGTAAAGGAGAGCCACGAAGAATGGCACCCAAGTTTGGGTAGCTGTCCCTTCTTCAATCCATTGGGTGAAGAGCGCCGAAAGGACCATGCAGCAGGCCATGCCTCCGGCACTTGTCATTAGAAGAATTCGTCTTCCGACCTTATTGGTGATCCAAGCACCAACCAGGCACACCACCAACCGCAGAACACCCATATAGACCGAGGCCTGGTAGGGATCCATAGCCACCCCTACATCCTGGAACACAGGGAGTAAATACGCTTAGTTCCATCACAAGCTTACCTTAAAGAAGATGACGCTGTTAAGCGTGATCACGTAGAGACCGCTGAACTGCTGCAGGGCGAACAACATGGAAACAATCGCGAAGGGCTTGTAGCATGTCGGTTGCAGAAAAACCTTGAAATCCACCTTTTTGGAACCTCGTTCCATTTGTGCACTTTGATCGACCAACTCGACCAGCTCGTCTTTCTTCAGGTCTCTTCCGAACCACCGCAACGACTTCCTCGCCTCCGACTGGCGACCCTTCGACACCAGCCACGAGGGCGTCTCCGGCAGGAGCATCGTCATCGCCACGGACACCACCGCGTAGAGCAGGTAGATCCACGATACCCAGCGCCAGTTGATCAACCATCCCTTGAAGTACGTCAGCAGTATACCTGTAAGCAGATTGCTATTTAGGAACGGCCGCGAACCTTTGATCCCACTTAAAGTTATCGCGGGATGACCCTCTTCCTTAAATTAATCTGGTTGTGAAAGACGATAATGAGGTCGAATGCTATCGTAAAAATTGTTTACTTTCCATTCTAGAAAAACGTTGCAACTCGTTTTGATAACACTTTTTTATCAGGTAGGTAACCTAATTAGACAACCACCAGGTGCACTAATTTAAAGTGCACTTTATCTTTTTCATAACGAGGTAATGGGCGACGCCACAAAGATAATCTTCAAACATAAGGGCCTTGGTAGAGCTTAGAAACTTTCTCAGGGGACCAAATTTTGGTAATACCCTTACAGCAAGGATCCATAAGTGCATGCCAACGATGTCTTTAGGCGCAAATTGAGCCCCGTTGTATCAAGTGGTCGCATGAGCAAGTGAAGAAGCAATAGTGGAAGCAAACGAAGGCAGAAACAGCAAACCAGGAAAAATGCAGCAAGTAACCAAGCATGATCGTGGTGCTTATCAAATGAGGCCAAGGGTTAAGAGACAATAGCAGATGGCGGCTGACGGTGGAAGAAGAAATCCAAGAGGAAGAAGAGCTAGTCAAAGTTCCTGGGGAGAAAATTGAAGACATTCAGGAAGCATTGTAATTAGCAGCCTGGAAGTTAGTAGCCAGTTTCAAGAAATCTTTATCAAAGGCGAAGAAGAAGAAAATGAAGAACAAGAAAATTAGAATCACACAAAAAGTGAACGATTACAGTATAAAAATAGTTTACCAAGATGGGGTTAACAATGGGAGAAGAGCAGTCGAGAAGAGAGTAAAATACTTGAAGTGGTTGGAAATAGAAGAAAAAATTGAGTAGGAGAACTACAAGAAAATTTAGCCAAAGCTCAAAAGATAAATGTAAAATTTCGAAGCTGCGTTAGAGAGGTAGCGTTGACCATAGGAAGAAGTGCAGACGATTATGAAGATAAGGAATTGAAGAATTGGAAAAGTTTTAAGAAGAAAAAAATAAAAAAATGTTTTTGTTTTTCAACGCTCATCAAGTTTGCATCGTTTAAAAAACAGAAGGGGGTACTGTAACAGGTGGTCGCTGGTAGGCTTTAAAGCTATTTTTGTTAAATTTACAAAATTGCAGATATAGGAAATTTTTATACGTGTACCGCTTCATAATGAAAGAGAACGGAACTAATATGCCAGAAAATGAAGCGCGTCAAGATAAGAACGAGTGTTCACGCGGGTAAAAGTCGAACCCTTACAGTGTTACCGGTTCTAAAAACCATCGCCACAGAACATGAGGGACGCACCCTCTGCCCTACCTTGTTAAAAAGCAGAGTTGTGCGCTCGTTGGGTTTGTTTCGGCTTTTTATTTATTTATTTATTTATTTATGTATTTATTTATGTATTTATTTATTTATTTATTTATTTATTTATTTATTTATTTATGTATTTATTTATGTATTTATTTATTTATTTATTTATTTATTTATTTATTTATTTATTTATTTATTTATTTATTTATTTATTTATTATGCCTCTCTTGTTCTGGGTCCTCAACAGGCTTGCGCCCAATTACAGAGTGACCCGCATAATGCTATTTAGAGGTGCCTCTGCAGAAGGTCTTAAGTTGGTCTATACTACTCCGGTATTTACCTTACGAATTAGGCAAACTGCAGGAAAACGGGTCCGTTAACTTGGCCCCCCCCACTGAGAGGTTTGATAGTCGTATTATTTTGAAATGAATGCGCTCGTTATGCGCTCATATGCGCCACCGATAATAACTCTTGCGCCATTATCGTTTTTTAGAAATCCGAAAAAACATTTGGGGGGGCCAAGTGAACGTAGCCCCCCCCCCAGTACGTATTTTGTCTCTTGTAACTAGGTCACCTGATACATTTGGTTATGCGCTCAATTGCGCCACTTGAATTAAAGCTAGCGCCATTACGGTTAAGCCGTGACAAATTTTCAAAAAGTGGGGGGGGGGCCAACTTAACGTTTTTAAAAGTTACTTTTTTTTAACATCTTTTCATACGAAATTGTACTCTCAGGTATGCGCTGAAATGCGCCGTAAAAAGATATCTTTGCGCCATTATTGTTTTTTGGATATCCTTAAATATATTTGGGGGGGGGCCAAGTGAACGGAATCCCCCATAACGCATTTTGCTACCGGTATTTGTGCCACTTGATACATCTGGTTATGAGCTCAATTGCGCCACTTGAATTAAAGCTAGCGCCATTACGGTTAAGCCATAAAAAATTTTTAAAAAGTGGGGGGGGGGGCTAACTTAACGTTTTCAAAAGTTACGTTTTTTAACATGTTTTTTCTACTACATCGTACCTTTCATCATGCGCTAAAATGCGCCGTAAACAAAAATCTTGGCGCCATTATAGTGTTTCAGAAACACTATACAGGGTGTTTTTTTGGGAGCATTAGTTAAACGATTCTGGGAAAGTAAAATAGGTAGGTTTTTAAAAATTTGCATTTAGGAGTTACTCCGAAGGCCGAATCGATGTAAAATATTTTCAAAATGGACGCACTTCCGGAAATAACTTTTGAAAACGCTAAGTTAGACCCTCCACTTGCAAAATGCGTTACGGGGGATTCCGTTCACTTGCCCCCCCCCCCCCCAAATATATTTAAGGATATCCAAAAAACAATAATGGCGCAAAGATATTTTTTTACGGCGCATTTCAGCGCATACCTGAGAGTACAAAATCGTATGAAAAGATGTTAAAAAAAAGTAACTTTTACAAACGTTAAGTTGGCCCCCCCCCCCTTTTTGAAAATTTCTCACGGCTTAACCGTAATGGCGCTAGCTTTAATTCAAGTGGCGCAATTGAGCGCATAACCAAATGTATCAGGTGACCTAGTTACAAGGGACAAAATACGTACTGGGGGGGGGGGCTACGTTCACTTGGCCCCCCCCCCCAAATGTTTTTTCGGATTTCTAAAAAACGATAATGGCGCAAGAGTTATTATCGGTGGCGCATATGAGCGCATAACGAGCGCATTCATTTCAAAATAATACGACTATGAAAATCTCTCAGTGGGGGGGGGGGCAAGTTAACGGACCTCAGGAAAACCTAATTCGGAGTAGCCGGTAGAATGTTCGGAACTGGTGTAAGGTAATTTTCATCTCCGCCACAGATGAAAAATTCACCTCACCCCAGGTTCGAACACCCGACCTCCGGATTTATGGCCCAACGCTCTACCACTGAGCCATGTAGCCGGTTCGGCGAGTATATTAGAGAAAATTGGGTGGGGAACTCTACAAGCCGAGCGCCACATTTTTAGAGCGCGTAATATTTATTTTTAATTGAAAGTCAAGGCGAGTTCGTAGAATCGAAGAATACGAAAGAACTATTAGCTGCTGCGGTATCGTCGAGAAAACAGTGCTGCCATTTCGACGAAATTATTGTCGAGGGTGCTTTTTAAATTTGCGACAAATTGGCGTTACAAGTAAGTTAATAATAAGTGACTAGTATTATCAAACAAACAAGCTGCCATTTAAGTAAATTGTTAGCACGAAAGCGTTAAGGTTCAAGGTGCAAAACGTTCATTACAGATATATTTGGAGCGGTTAGCGATTAAAAAACAAGTTTGTCAATCGAAACTGTGCACTTCTCGTGTGCATACGGTGTGTTATTAGATCTACATTCAAAGGCAATCGGTAAAAAGGTTAAAGACAATTAATTCGTGCTTTTGCTGGCTGTTAAAACTCGAAGATAAGGATAATTGACCCAAATTCGTCAACCATCCCCCGAAATTCATTTTAAACGAGTAACCAAATTTTCCCGGCGATACAAAAGGTCGGATTGTATTGTACAGGACGTTCCACCATCCAATTTTCAAAATTGCTGTGAGGTTTCCAGAGGAGAAGATCAACTGCCAATTGGAGAAAATTTTGACTCATCGATAATAAAATCAGTAAGACCGCGGTCACAAACCAAAAAAGATCGCGTAAGTAATGGACTCCGTATAAACGCATTCCGCGGTACAAATTCAAACAGCTCGATTCGGACAAGGACAAATTAATTAAACGTGCCGGTGTATTCCTCGTCCCAAACGTCCAGTGCCAAGATTTTTCGCCACTACGGGACCGACTGTTGCCGTTAGAACTCGTGACAACATAAATTTTTAAACATTAGTTGCTCGTTTCAAAAATAAATAAATAAAAGGAGCTTGTTCGATTTTGCATACAATTAATAAGAACGCCGTCGAAATTACGTCCAGAAAGCATTTATTCCCAAAGATGCCATAAAAGTGAAGGTAGCCGTCTCTGCATCTGTGTTAGTAATTCTTAAGGGAGATTTTGATTCCTTTTGTTTAAAGATACCAACCTCTGAAACAGTTTGTATTAGATAGATTTTGTCATTTATGTCTCATGGAAACTGGATTTGCCAAAACATTGGTTAAATTTCCAAAGAGAAAGTATCCATGTAAATGGATTCGATTTGATTAGCCTTAAAGTATATTTTGTATAAACACTTGCCGTATACTGTTACTGCCTATGATATTGATTAAGATATACAGGGTGTTGCTTTTAAAAAGTAATGTTCTAAAGTCAAACTTTTCGTTTTCACCCTGTTTCACAGAAACAAACGTAGATAAATTGATTCTGTTTGTGGTATTAAACGTTTCACAAAAAAGTGGCGCAGGATCGCGAAAAGCGCACGTCTCTATCTTTAAAAATAGCTGAGATACACGGCAGTCTCAACCAAAATAGGACACACGGTACAACGGAAAAAGAAATATTTGCACGAATTTGGAATTTAGCTCTTTTTAAAGATAAGGAAATTTCGTTAATATGGCATTCATGCAAAAAAGCTTTTTGGCAATACGTTTGTGGCAAGGATTAAAGATGGCACCATTGCAAAGAATGCTTGCAAGCACAAAAAATTGCCTCCCTTGCGTACAGCGGAAAAAATGACATTTGCAGGAATTTATCTCAATTTAAGAAAAAGCGAGATCGGTACAAATGGCATTATTATTATTAAACTTCCACGCAAAAGTAATGTTTTTAAGACTAGTGCCGAGCGAATTGAAGGCAAGTACGGCACAACCCTAGGCAAAGTAAGGTCCTGATAGAGTAAGTCCCTACTCTGACTAGGTTTGTTTAATTAAAATAGGCGTGCTATTAAAATTTACGGCATCCCCGTACAGCATGGGTATTGTCATTCTAAATTTTTTTTATAATTATACTGATCATACTTTGAATTAAATTTTTGTTTTTCAATTTACACTATCCCTTTGTTCCTAGTGCTGGTTTTACCTGCCAACCCGCAATATGAATTTCTGACTGATTTACGTATTTTTATTTATATTTAGATACAGTAGGTTCTCTTAGGGATGATATTCAATGCGAGTATGCAGGATTAAACGATCTAATAAATATTATAGCGATTCGTGGATGGGGTTGTATTTGGAAACATCGACACTACATTGTTAATCTATAATGAAATTTATTGCAGCATATTTTCTCTTTTGGAGGAATATGTTAGTTTATTTACAGGGTGCTTCATCTGGCTTCTTGGCATTGAGAATTAATTACTTTATACTAATATTTTACCATTACATGTTCCTTTGTTTTGTTGGAATGTGATACTTAACGTTATGCTCCTTCTATGTATTTTTTGATAATTTGACATTTACGGCATTCACACAAGAAGGAATTTGGGCAATACATTTGCAGCAACAATTAAAGGTGGTCCCATTCCAAATAATTCCTTCGGGCACAAAAAATTGTCCCCTTTGCGTTAATGTACAGCGCGGAAAAGGGATCTTTGTACCAATTTGAAACGTATATCTTCTTGAGCAGCAGAAAATTTCGTTAGTTTGACAAATTTGCCACTCATACCAAACATAATTTTGGCAATACCTCTGCAGCAAGGTTTAGGTATGACCACGTTGCAAGTAATGCTTTCAGGCACAGAAAATTGACGCAAGTAATAGGTAGTCTCTAATTAGTTTCCATAAAGTAGGAAAAACAAGGAAAGGTTTTCAATATAATCTGCTCTTCCACCTAACCCTTGAACTGCAAAACAAAGTTATTTCGTGATAATGAGTAGTATTTAACGGAAACTAAGATGTGTGAATAACAACGCATTATATGGAAATTATTAGTCATATTTATACATAATTGAATTTTAAATGTCTACGCAGAATAGGCATACTAATGGCGTCAGACACAGGCTCCTTGCCTCAACGTACAAGGGAAAAAGGAGCAACATCATACACGCAAAATTGGGTCCCCTGCGTCAAAGTACAACATAAAAAAGAGGAATTTAATTTGGAAATTCTGCCATTGGTATACGAGTAACTTACCAACACTAAAAAAAATCCCTGGAAAGCAAAGAAGGGCGCCTCTAAAGTTTGGGTCGCTCACCTCCGAGATGTAGACAAAGGAAGGTCCGGACGCCAATGCTGCAAGTAGAGGTTTGGCTTATTCAGTCCCGCTAATCTCGTGATTACCGAAGGAAATTCCGGTAAAGATCCTACCAAGTACTATCATGAGCCCATTTTGGGCCGTGGCTATCAGAGCCCAACCGATCACGTTGGGAATGATCGACAATTTTAACGTAACTAACCTGCCCCACACGTCCATCGTAAGTCCGGAAAGCGCGACGCCGATCGGTATCGCCAGCGAGGTCGAGCTACCTGCAATTTGCCGATCAGTATCGCAGGCCTTCGGCGTTAACACTCACTGATCCAAAGGATCTCACTGGAGCTGACGTTGAAGCTGGTGCCGTTCTCCCTGTCCAAAATTTGAGGCACCACGATCCCGGAGTAGGCCAACGAGCTTCCGCACACTATGGAGAAGGAACCGGCGATCAGTGAGGCTGCGATCTGCAAATGACAGTTGCAAAATTTGCCAAGCCGCTTGGTCACTCGCCTGTCTGATGGAGCTGGAAGTGGGACGACGCGCATCGCTCTCCATATCTAAAGACAATTAGGTCGACAACTCAATTAACGTTTTGTGATAACCCAACTCATCAACGGCGCGCATCCGTCGCGTGGGAAATTTTGAGTGAAACTACCAAAGCTCCAAAACGACTTGTAAGCCTATGTAACATAAATGCGTTTATCACCACAAAAGTATGTAATTAAACAGATTAGATTTATGCTATTTAGATAAGTTTTCAAGAGCATTGTGCGATTTCCACAACAGATCGTTAATTTTTCTCCAAGGTCTCGTAGACGAAACCTGATCTGCACCGGAATTTTATCTAATTCACTCACGTTTCACTACCAACTTCGAACTTACGACTAAGTGTAAAAGCAAGTTATCAGTTTTAGACGTGTCATTTAGGAAACTGCGCATTATCGACTTATAGAGCGTTAAAATCAATCGATTCAAGGTTCTTCCACATCCTTCAGGATCCTGAGACTTTTTGGACACATACAATAATTCAGATTTTCCCGATTGTTTAAATTCTTCTTCGCGAGATTGGTCACAAAAGTCCGAGATCATTTGGCATTTCCTCTGATTCCCCCTTTCACAGGTTTGGATTCATTAATTTCTTTCAAATCCTCAGAATCCGAAAGCTGGTCTTCTTCGCGATTCTTCGTGCCTGTACTATTCTTTAGATTTTTCAAATTCCTTATATGTTTATGATTCTCGGAATTCTTCTAATACCTCCGATTCTTCAAATTCTCACCAGGTCCCTAGGATTATTCAGATTTTGAGACTCTTCCGACTTTTCCCTTTTTGTCTTCGGACCCTTCTAATAATGTGATTTTTTATCCTTTCATCATATCGGCTTCAAATCTCTTACATTTTCAATTTATTTTTATTTCAATTCTTCCTCCCTTCGTCCAACATGTGCTCCTGATACCCTATAGTGTGGTCATTGCCTACTAACTATACTAGGGATTCGCGCGGCGACTGACCTGTTCACCAAAACCATCATCCAACGACCGAGCCTCTTCGGATCAACCCGAGGAGTAGACAGATAGAGGCCTAGGGGAACTCACTACCTACTTTCCGTACCTCTAGTCCTTAGTAGTTTGATACGCACCATCTGTCCTGTGTATATTTTATTCTGTCTATATGTTGTTTTTTACTGACTGTATACAGTGTATATATTATGTTTTTTTAAACCGCCACGTTATTCTACCTGGTAACAATGAGAAAAGGACCTCTTTGTCCATCATATTCTCCTGATAGGCAGAGAAATTTTTTAAAACTAACTGATAATCTGTGTATTAAAGGCAGAAACACCTCCTCGCACATTATATTCTCCAAGATAAAATATGGTAAACATTTTGACCAAAATAACAATGAGACAAAAAGACCTGCTCGTCCATCATATTCTCGTGATAACCAAAGAAATTTTTTAAAACTAACGATATTCTGTGTATTAGGGGTGGAAACACCTCCTCGCACATTATATTCTTCAAGATAAAATTTGGTAAACATTTTGACCAAAATAACAATGAGAGAAAAAGACCGCCTCGTCCATCATATTCTCCTGATAGCCAGAGAAATTTTTTAAAACTAACTCACATTCTGTATATTAGGGGTAGAAACACCTCTTCGCACATTACATTCTCCAAGATAAAATGTGTTAAAGATTTTGAGCAAAATAACAATGAGAAAAAGACCTCTCCTCGTCCATTATATTCTCCTGATAGCCAAAGAAATTTTTTGAAAACTATATGATATTCTGTGTATTAGGGGCAGAAACACCTCCTCGCACATTATATTCTCCAAGATAAAATTTGGTAAACATTTTGACGAAAACAACAATGAGAAAAAGAGCCCCTCGACCATTATATTTTCCTGATAGCCAAAGAAGTTTTTTAAAACTAACTGATTTCTGTGTATTAGGGGTAGAAACACCTCTTCGCACATTATATTCTCCAAGATAACATGTGTTAAAGTTTTGTGCAAAATAACAATGAGAAAAAGACCTCGTCCATTATATTCTCCTGATAGCCAAAGAAATTTTTTGAAAACTATATGATATTCTGTGTATTAGGGGCAGAAACACCTCCTCGCACATTATATTCTCCAAGATAAAATTTGGTAAACATTTTGACGAAAACAACAATCAGAAAAAGACCCCCTCGACCATCATATTTTCCTGATAGCCAAAGAAGTTTTTTAAAACTAACTGATTTCTGTGTATTAGGGGTAGAAACACCTCTTCGCACATTATATTCTCCAAGATAAAATGTGTTAAAGTTTTGAGCAAAATAACAATGAGAAAAAGACCTCCTCGTTCATCACATTCTCCTGATAACCAAAGAAATTTTTTTAAACTAACTGATATTCTGTGTATTAGGGGCAGAAACACTTCTCGCGGTTTATATTCTCCAAGATAAAATTTGGTAAATATTTTGACCTAAATAACAATGAGAAAAAGACCTCCTCGTCCATCATATTCTTGTGATAACCAAAGAAATTTGTTAAAACTAACGATATTCTGTGTATTAGGGGTAGAAACACCTCCTCGCACATTATATTCTTCAAGATAAAATTTGGTAAACATTTTGACCAAAATAAAAATGAGAAAAAGACCTCCTCGTCCATCATATTCTCCTGATAGCCAGAGAAATTTTTTAAAACGAACTCACATTCTGTGTATTAGGGGTAGAAACACCTCTTCCCACATTATATTCTCCAAGATAAAATGTGTTAAAGATTTTGAGCAAAATAACAATGAGAAAAAGACCTCCTCGTCCATTATATTCTCCTGATAGCTAAAGAAGTTTTTTAAAACTAACTGATTTCTGTGTATTAGGGGTAGAAACACCTCTTCGCACATTATATTCTCCAAGATAAAATGTGTTAAAGTTTTGAGCAAAATAACAATGAGAAAAAGGCCTCCTCGTTCATTATATTCTCCTGATAGCCAAAGAAATTTTTTGAAAACTATATGATATTCTGTGTATTCGGGACAGAAACACCTCCTCGCACATTATATTCTCCAAGATAACATTTGGTAAACATTTTGACCAAAATAACAAATGAGAAAAAGACCTCCTCGTCCATCATATTCTCCTGATAACCAAAGAAATTTTTTTAAACTAACTGATTTCTGTGTATTAGGGGTAGAAACACCCCTTCGCACATTATATTCTCCAAGATAAAATATGGTAAACATTTTGACCAAAATAAGAATGAGAAAAAGACCTCCTCGTCCATCATATTCTCCTGATAACCAAAGACATTTTTTTAAACTAACTGATATTCTGTGTATTAGGGGCAGAAACACCTTCTCGCGGATTATATTCTCCAAGATAAAATTTGGTAAATATTTTGACCAAAATAACAATGAGAAAAAGACCTCCTTGTCCATCATATTCTCCTGATAGCCAGAGAAATTTTTTAAAACTAACTCACATTCTGTGTATTAGGGGTAGAAACACCTCTTCGCACATTATATTCTCCAAGATAAAATGTGTTAAAGATTTTGAGCAAAATAACAATGAGAAAAAGACCTCCTCGTCCATTATATTCTCCTGATAGCAAAAGAAATTTTTTGAAAACTGTAAGATATTCTGTGTATTAGGGGCAGAAACACCTCCTCGCACATTATATTCTCCAAGATAAAATTTGGTAAACATTTTGACGAAAACAACAATGAGAAAAAGACCCCCTCGACCATCATATTTTCCTGATAGTTAAAGAAGTTTTTTAAAACTAACTGATTTCTGTGTATTAGGGGTAGAAACACCTCTTCGCACATTATATTCTCCAAGATAAAATGTGTTAAAGTTTTGAGCAAAATAACAATAAGAAAAAGGCCTCCTCGTCCATTATATTCTCCTGATACAAGATTAGAATTGAAATATTCCCCTTCATAGAAAAAAAAACCTCTTTGCTTCTAATTTTCTCCTGGTAGACAGAGAAATGTTACTAGAGTTAGATAACTGATACTACGGGTATTAAGAGCAAGAACGCATAGTATATACGCCTGATACAAGATTGAAATGATTTTCCTTAGTGATAGAAAAGAGCTCCTCGTCCATAATGTTCTCCTGGTACCTGGTAGCCTGACAAACTCAATCGCTTTCGAACTAAATTAGGAGCAGGAACATCTCCTCGCGGACCCTATTCTCCTGGTACAAGATAGGGAAAGTTATTTCTCTTGGTAATGGAAATCCAAATCAACCTCATCGTCCGTAATGTTCCCCTAATAGCCTGACGAAATTCAGTAGTTTTGATACTTAGAAGGAGGCACATCTGCTCGTGCATTACTCTTGACACAAAACTTTAAACCAAATAAGGCGTTGAAATATTTCTCATCGTTCATAATATTCTCCAAGAGTTTTTCTAACTAATTTTCAGTGTATTAAGAGCACAAACATCTCCTCGCATATTATATTCTCTTGATACAATATGGGTAAATTTTCAACCAAAATAAAGCGTTCAAATATTTCCCTTGACAATGGACAAAATTCTCATCGACCATAAGGAGCAGGAACACCTCTTCGCTTGCCATATTATCCTAATACAACGTACAAAAATTTTTCCTAGTCATGGAAAAAGATCACCTGGTCCATCATGTTCTCAATGTAACCTGACAAACTAGTGCTCGGAACGTTAGCTTAAAACATTATATTCTCCTGATTCAAAATTGTTTGAAGCCAAAATAAGGCGTTGAAATATTTCTCTTGGTGATGGAAAAAGACCTACTTGCTCATTTTCTCCTGGTAGAGAGAGAAATTTTAAAAAGTTTGCTAACTGGCTCTTCTTGTATTAGCCTCAGAAACACCTCTTTGACATTATATTTTCCAGATACAAAAGGTCTCCTTGTTTATAAAGTTCTCCTGGTAGACAGAGAAATTTTGCCAACTGATACTCCGTGTATCTACCTGATACAAGACTTGTAAAGCTTTAAGCCAGAATGAAGCGCAAAAAAATGGTTTTAGTGATACCATCATGGTCTCCTGGTAGTATAACAAATTCAGTAGCCTGCTAACTGATACTATATATAAGGTTCGAGATAAAGGCACCGTGCATATAGTTAATTACAATCAAAAAAACATCTCCTCGCGGTTTCTATTCTCCTGATACGAGATTGTTGAGGGTTCAAGCCAAAATAACGTGTCGAAATATTTCTCTTGGTGATGGAAAATCGTCCATCATGTTCTCCTAGCAACTGGAGAAATTTTGATAGAGTTTAGCTTTACTTAGGAACACCTACTCGCACATTCTATTCTCCTAATAGAAGATTCGTAAAAGATTAAGCCATAATAAGGCGTTGAAATATTTCTAATACCGATGGAAAAAACCTCCTCGTCCAGTCTCCAGCTCTCGCACAAACTGTACTTAGAATCACAGAAGCAGCAGGACGCGCACAATTGATCAACCGGCTCCTTATAAATGGTTCAATCATCAACACTTTGGTTTCTTTTTCAAGCCTGCATGAGGACAATATAATGTGCCAGGGGACATTTCCCATCTTAGTCAGGAAAATGTTGTAAGCTTCCTCTGGTTACTAGGAAGATATAATAAATTAGGAGGTATCTTTCTGACATCAGGAGAAATATGACATTTTCTTCTTGAGCGAAGAAGTATTTCTGCTCCTAATACTTCGAGGAGTTGAAAACCTTCTCTACCCACTAGGACGGCATATAAGCTCTGGTTTTCTCAACACATCAAGTGAGATGCTTCAATACACTGTATCAGGAGAATATAACGTGCGAGAAGGTATTCTCTCGAATTTTTACTCGGGAAACATGATCGTTGAAGAGGTATGCTCTATGATAAAAAAAACTTTTGGCTTACGTGGGTCACGTTTGTATCAGGAGAACATAATATGCAAGAGTGTGTTTTTTCAGGCTACCAGTACCACATTATCGACGAGGAGATTTTTTCCTATGCTTAAGAAAAGGCTTTATTTTCTAATTTACAACTTTTGTATCGGGAGAGTATAATTTACAAATTTATGGCACAAATTGTGATCATAAACACGCAATGAAGTGTACAATTAGTCGAATAATCTGTTCTCCTGATACGCAATTCAACAAAAACGCGAGAAAATTTCCACGTATGATGCTTTGTGTTTACCGGGTGGTCAATTTACTGGTAACCCTCCTCTCTTATGTTATGATTTCCTGATTTATGTTAAAAATCATTTCAGGATCACAGAAACCAAAGAAGGTGTAAATTAGAATTACAGAAACGGAAGAAGGTGGGAAAGCTATTGGCATACACCTTCTCACTTGTCAGGTGCCCCGTTTAAAACAAATTCTCTAAAACTTGTATCAGGACTGTAGGAACAAGAGGAGATATAAAATGATAACTGATAACTGTTGGAGAATCATAAAGACAGTGAGGTATCAATCTTATCGAATATGTTCTCCTGATACAAATTTGTCTCTTGAGAATTTTTGAATCCGGGTAACACAAGAACCTGAAAATTGGCTGTCAGACTCACTCTGCATTGTCATGTTCTCTTGATTTCCCTTTAAAGTGTTTTATGAGGATCACAGAAAACCAAAATTGTATAAGATATACGCACAATTTGTTGTGTGATGTGTTGCCTACCACTCGCATTCGCAATGAATTCACCAATTTATCTAAATAAAGCTTTTTATGACAAAGGAAATTGCATTCCAACACACGCGCTAATGGAACTTCATTTCCATAACTGAAAACGCGCGAGTAACGTCTTGGCGCTGAGAACTTCACAATATTTTGATGCCCCGCGCGAAGGTCGTCCAAAAATATCACTCCTTTTTCGTTTTGGACACCTTTGGAAAGAAAACGTCAGTGTTTTTTATCTGCCAAGTGAGAGTGGTATAAGTTTCCTTGTTTTTGGGCTTTGAAAACGTCGGAAGTTCTATTTGAGGAATATGGCGGTGAGTAGTACGCAATTAGTGACTGGTGCATCTTCTAATTTAACTAATCAACATTAGCTAAATTGATCCGTGCGGTTTAATTAATTGGCTTTAATGTAGCGCCTTAATTCAAAGCTGGCGGAAGAAAACAGCGCATTTGGCACAATTATTGCATGCGTCGACCTTTGGTTGTTACGCTATTTTGACCAAACTGCCAGTTTCGACAGTGTTTTTTGACCATTTGGCATGGTTTGGAGACTGTTCTTCCACGGTTTCGTTGTGGCGTTTTTCTTCTTTGTAGTCTTACAACCAAACAGAAATACGTAAAAATTCTCCAATGGAGCCCTTTGACGTTCGTGAGATATTCCTCGTCTGTTTTGTTCTTCCAATCCAAGACTGCTCTCTTAAAAGTCTTGGTATTTGTCGAGGAAACTACAAAGCCGCAATGTCTTTATCACGCTTTTACGTATTTACGGGAACAGAAATTCATACGCGAACAAATCGTCCTAAAATGAAAAAAATCGAATACTAATTTTTGTATTAGGAGAGCATAAAAACGAGAAACGTCCAAATGCCATCCTTTAAAACATAATGGATCATACTGGGAGTGCATCAGTGCACGTAAGGTCAATATTCGTATCAGTACATCAGCGTAGGGATAGCTTATTTATCGAAACAGGAGTGCATAAACGAGAGGAGGTGTACAGTGTGCATTAGAATCAAACTCAACAATCGAGAATTAGGAGAGCATATAAACGGGAGAGAACTACGGACATGACATGATGTTTGTATAAGGAGTACAACATGAAACAATTTTACTTTCTGGGAACAGGAGTGCATAAACGAAAGGAGGTGTATATGGATACATCGAACTCAAAAATAACAATAGTGAATTAGTTTTCTTGCATTGGAAGTATTTAAAAGCGACAAGGCTACAGACATGACTCGTTCAGGCATTGATGTTTGTATCAGGAGTACATTCGTGAACTAAAAGTCAGAATATAGATTATTACCTTCAAAACAGGGGTGTATACACGATCGAAAATGCACATCAGCGGTCAGTGTAATAGGAGTGCACAATCAAGAGGTCATAGTAAGCTTAAAGTTAAACAAACAGTTACAAGTTCGCATACACGAAAGGGTAAGGAATGCATCAACGTGAGGAGGTGTGTATGGATATATTAGACTCAAAGTCAACAATGCGGTATCAATTTTCTTATAAAACGACACGAATTACACACATGATTCATTCAGAAATTGATTGATATTTGTATCAGGAGCGCATAAAAGTCTCTAGAAAGTTGGAATAAAATTAGGTATATTAGATGCTTAAAGCTGCATAAGATTGTTACTTATCGGAACAGAAGTACATAATCTAGAGGAGGTATATACGGACATGTTACCCTTACATTTTACAGGGAGGGGATGCAAAATCTATTTACTGCACAATTATTGCGCATTATGTTTCCTAATTTTTTGTGATGCTGACACGTTCGGTTTATACAAAATTCTCTTTTAAAAATCAATCAAGGTTACAGAAACACGACAAGGAGCAGAACCTATTTACCTACATTTTCTTCATAGAAGATCATCTAACCTTTCCCATTACTCCTACAACCATCCCAGGACCCCGTGCACTGGGGGGTATTCCTCCCAGCCCCCCCCGGTTCTCCTCAGAACGTTCATCCCTAAGGACTTGTGATAGTTTTTCATAGAAGGTCATCTAAAAAAGGAAGAAAAATTCAATGTTTCTTCTTCTATAACTATCCCATGACTTTGTAGGGTGGAGGGAGGGGGATTTCATACCCCCCAGACCCCCCAGTGATACGTTCTTCAATATATCGTTTATCCATAAGAACTCTCGTGATAGTTTTCATAGGAGATCGTCGAATCTTCCTTCCCTCATAAAACACTTCCTAGGAAGAAACATTCAATGTTTCTTCTTCTACAACTATCCCATGACTTCGTTGGCTGGGGGGGAGGGGGTATTCCATACCCTCCAGACCCCCCGGTGATACGTTCTCCAACATATCGTTCATCCATAAGGACTCTCGTGATAGTTTTCATACGAGATCGTCGAATCTTCCTTTCCTCATAAAGTACTTCCTAGGAAACCCTCTTCTACAACTATCCCAGGAGTTTGTACACTGGGAGGTATTCCATACGTTCTCCTACATAAAGAACATCCCTAAGGACTCTCGTGATAGTTTTTCATAGAAGATCATCAGCGAATCCTCCTTTGCTTATAAACTACTTCCTAGGGAGGAACAATTCAGTGTTCGTTCTCATACTACTGGCCTAGGAACGGTTTTGAAACCAGAAACCCGAAGATAGACGGACACATTCCTACGTAAGGTGTGACATGTTACTAACTTACATACATCTAAAAAAACGTATCAGAGAAGTAGAGTCGCCAGGAGACGGACGTCTGTGCGCCTGTTAACAATGCTAAATTTCTTTCTTAAACGACGTATAAGAATCACAGAATAACGAGGAGGTACTTGCTGATTGATATGTGATCTCTGCTGTCAAAATTTCTCTTTGAAGCGCACTTCGTATGCTGCAACATTTTTAAACATTATGTTCCCCTAATAGAAATCGCACATTTTCTACCCTCCTCGCACTTCTGAAATCCTCATACGTTTGGTTGTAATAAATAAATTTTACACCTCCTCAGCTTTCTGGAACCTCGTACAAAGTTCTTTTTTTAAAACGTATCAGTATCACAGAAACGCTAGAGTGGCGACTTACCTCTTTCGGTTTTACGATCTCCTGACACAAATTTTTTTTTCAAGGAATGCATAGAAGCGCGAACACGTACAAACTATACAAAACTGGTATACTCTTACGTATAATGTGTTCCTGTTACAAATAGAGCTTATTAGAATAATGGAAATGAGAAGAGTGCAAAAAGATGTGGACTGAACAAGAGTACATAGTTGAGAAGAGGTGTGCTTGGGCAACGTAAGCTGAAAGTTTACAATCGGAGATTAATTGAGCAAGAAAACTACAGTGCTGGCTTTAAAAGTTAATACTGTTTGGTGTCAGGGGCACATCAGACCTCTCAGATAGTAGCTTATTATTTATGGGAAGGTGTCTATGAGCAACCGAGTATTATTTTTTTATATTAGGAGCACATCAAAGTGGGAACAGTGCAGAGGATTGTACCGGAAGCGTATAAACAAGAGCATGTTTCGATCAGGAGCACATCAGTCGAATAACAGTGACACAGTAGATAATAAAGAGGAGGCGTCTATGGTCAAAGTCAAAGTATTTATAGGAACGGGAGTGATTAAGCGAGTGGAGGTCCAATTAAAATGCCCAGTCGGACAGTAATTTTTGTATTAGGAGCGCAGAAACCTGCAAAAAGTGAACGCCGTTTGTATCAGGATTAAGTTCCCAAAATACTTTAATGTTTATCGGAACAGGAGTAAATTCGTAAGCAGAATCTGTATCTGTAAATTTGAAAAATATTAGGAGCGTATGAAAGTAAAAAACTGCAAATGCAGCGAAAAGTCAGAGCTTATCGAAACAGAAGCGCATAAGCAAGAGAACGTAAAGTTGACCATAAAATTCTAATGTTAAGAGTGCCTTCAAGAAAACGTAAATAGGAATAGCTTCAAATATACAATCGAGTATTAGTTTTAATTAGGAGCATATAACAGTAAGAATACAGAACTTTCTCGTGATAATGTGTTGTATCAGGAGCACACCAGTGCAGATGGAATAACTTTGAACTTTGGACGTTTGGAACAGAAGTGCACTATCGAGAGGGTTTGTCAATGGGAAAAGTCGCCTAAAAGGAACAATCGAATGCTATTTTTTTCATTAGGAGCGCATAAAGTACAGTACGAGATGAATTTGTTTTTTATTGGATCGTAGTCGGCTTCAAATTAAATGATAAGCGTCATTTGTTATATTAGGAGCGCATTAAAATTACTAATGTTTTTTCGTATATAAAAGTGCAACTGCATCCTATGCTCTTTAATCTTCCACTTCTGTTCTTCTGCTACAATTGATTTTTTTGTCTCTGAGAGCTATACTAATCACCTACCCTTTGCTATCATTGGCTTTGTTACTTTCTAAGATCCGAATAATAATTTTAGTTCGGTATCAGGCCAGCATGAAAACGGCAGGTGACCCGTTACGATTTCTTGCTGTTACAGTATTTCTGTGAAAGCCGTCCACCTATGGAGCTATTACCCGCATATGATACAGTTGATAAATACATTTCTGTATCAGGTCAACATAAAATGGAAGGTAAGTTCATTTGGGTTCTGTCCTAATACAATGCCCTTCTGAAATTGTTTGTACCAGAAAAGACCATATTGCTACCAGCCCAAAATGTTGGTTGGTAATGTGCATGTAACGTCATGGTATTAATTACGATATTTTCACCTTTATCTTCATAAAAAGGGCCGAATTCGGTGTCTCCCGGTAACAAGTCGGCAACTTACGAGTAGTAGGTACGAGAAAGTTGCCTTTTTTTGCAAAATTCATTTAAAGGTGAAACCGCGTCCATATTAAAATCGCCCATGAACAGTAGAGATTAGTATGCATTGGTGATATTCCATTGCGATTGTTCCTCTGCTAGTCGGAGAATTTTGCGTGACTAAATCGACAATTCGAGACCTCCCACTTTGATAAGGTGTATCGTAAACAGAGAGACAATTATCGATAGTGTCACATAACGTTACCGCACTCCATTTGTAGGCCACTCGTCCGTCTGACCGGTCTCGTTACATAAGTGCACCTGTTGCAAGCGAGTGCTGTTTAAAGTGCAACGATATCAATATAATTGGTGAGTGATGCGGAAATTGTTTTTAAGCTTTCCTTTTTTTTAGTAACAGTAGAATTCCTGCGATTATCTCCGTGACACCTGAGCGCTTATCGCAATTTTCCGGCATGTGATCACTCTTCATAATTTACGTCTACTCTTAATATCATCAATCATCCCGCAGGATTGTGGCCTATTTCAAGCTAGGGAAAAATTGGTGCCTCCATAGGCAACCACTTAGGTG